CAGGGAGCAATGAGGTAGAACAATTTGAAAGCCACCTACCTAGACTCTATGAAGTGATAACAGCAGAAGTAACAAAGCAGACGAATGAGGCTCTAGAAAAAAATCAATTCAGAAATAAGTTTCTCAGATAACTACAGAGATAGTGACCTTAATGAAAGACATGATTAGTGACTCTAGAGAAGATACAGATAAAAAAATAGAGAAGCTTAGGAAAATGATGGAAATCATGAATGCCCAACATAGGAAGGAAATGTAATCCATGAAACAGATTTAAACAGATATCCAGGAGATTAAAAATTCCATTGAAAGTATATGCAGCAGAATGAGCCAATGTGAGGACAGAATATCAGATATAGAAGACAGGATTGCAGTCAGTGATCATGAAAAGAAAGATTTCTTAAAAATAGCAAGGGAGGGCTGGGGATTTAGCTCAGTGGTTCCACTGCTTGCCTTGCAAACACAAGGTCCTGAGTTCAACCCCCAATACCCCCCCCCCAAAAAAGCAAGGGACCAACCATGAAAAATCAATCAGCAGCTGCTGGATGATGCAAAGAAGAATAACATAAGATTGGTCAGAGTCAATGAAAAAGCAGGAGATAGCGCAAATGACATAAAAAACCTATTTACAGAAGTAACGGCAGAAAACTTCCCAAGCAGGAAAAAAGAATTTGATATACAGATAGGTGAGGCATATAGAACTCCAATTAGCCATGATTTAAAAAAAAACTACACCAAGGCATATAATAGTCAAGATTCCGGAAATTCAACACAAGAACAGAATATTAAAAGCTGTAAGAAAAAAGAAACAAATCACCTATAAATAAAGCCCATCAAAATCACAGACTTATCAACCCAAACCCTCAAGTCAAGGAGAGCTTGGAGTGGAGTATTTCAAGTCCTAAAAGAAAACAACATATCATTGTACCCCACAAAACTATCTTTCAGAATTGTTGGAGAAATAAGACAGTTTTGTGACAAAGAATACCTGAAGAAATTCATGACCATAAAACCAGCACTCCAAAATGTTCTGAAGGACATTCTAGAAAGAAACAACAAGGACTACAACTCCATAAACTCCAACAGAATGAATCCACCAGGCAAGGCAGGCAATTAAAGAGGAGAAGAAAGGGAACCAATAACAGGAAAATAACATGACAAGGATAAGTCAATACATATTAGTTATAAATATAATATCAATGTAAATGGTCTCAAATTACCAATCAAAAGAAACAGTTTGGGGCCGGGAATATAGCTCAGTAGTGCTGCGCCCACCTGGCAAATGAAAAGTCCTGAGTTTGATTCCCAGTACCAAAAAAAAAAAAGAAAGAAAGCAAAGCAAAGCAAAGAAACAGGCTGGCAGAATTAAGAAGCAAGATCAACAGCATGACAACAATAACAATATGCTGCATACAAGAAACACATTTAATTCAAAAAGAAGTTCATAGACTGAAAGTCAAAGGATGGAAAACAATATTCCATGTGACAGGAACCCGGAAAAAAGACGGGATAGCTATATTTTTTGCAGACAAAGTGGCTTTCCAGCCAAGAACGATTAAGAGAGATAAAGAAGGTCACTATATCCTTGTAAAGGAAACAATTCAAGAGGAGATAACAACTATAAATATATATGCACCAAATACTAGTACACCCAATATAAAACAAATATTAACAGACATGAAAAATCAAATAAGCACTAATACAATTGTAATGGGGGACTTCAATACCCCACTGGCACAAACAGACAGATCAACCAGACCAAAAAATCAACAATGAAATATTAGAACTGAACCAAACTTTTGAACAAATAGACTTGGTAGATGTCTACAAAGTGTTCTACCCCACAACAACAGAATACACATTCTTCTCAGCTGCACATGGGATGGTCTCCAAAATAGACCACATACTAGCACATAGGACATGCTTAAGTAAATGCAAGGGAACTGAAATTATCCCATGCATATTATCAGATCATAGTGCAATAAAATCAAGGGGAAAAGAAACCATAAGAACTTCATAAACACATGGAAATTAAATAACACCCTCCTGAACAACCAATGGGTCACAGATTAGTTTCTACAATTAAATGATAATGCCAATATAGCATACTTATGGGACTTATGGGACGCAATGAAAGCAGTCCTATGAGGGAAATTTACAGTGGTGAAGAGCCATACCAGGAAAACAGCCAGTTCAAATAAACAACCTAATGCTGAACCTCAAGCTTCTAGAAAAAGAAGAGCAAGTCAAGCCCTAAACTTGTACAAGAGAGGGAATTATAAAGATCAGAGCAGAAGTTAATACAATGGAGACTAAGAAAACAACACAAAGAATCAATGAATTGAAGAGTTGGCTCTTTGAAAGATTAAAATAAAATTGACAAACCCTTAGCCAATCTTATCAAAAGAAGGAAGGAAAAGATTCAAACCCATGCAATTAGGAATGTAAAGGGTGAAATCACAACAGATCCTGCAGAAATCCAGAAGATCATCAATACCTACTTTGAGCACCTGTATTCTAATAAGATGGAAAAGCACAGAAGAAATGGACAGAATCATGGATACATATGAATTAACAAAGCTGAACCAAAAAGATATAAAAATTCTAAATAAACCAGTATCAAGTCAATGAAATTGAAGATGTAATTAAAAACCAACAAAGAAAAGCCCAGGCCCTGACGGATTCATTGCTGAGTTCTAAATTATGCTATTTCTCAAACTCTTTAAGGAAAAAATATTTTAAATAATTGTTGGATAATTATAGAATTTCAAGGGGGGCCATATAGTGGAATCCTTTTATTTTTTGCACAGAAAAAAGCCATACAAGTAACATGTTACATGCAATTCTTTAACTTGGTAATGAGAGGACATACAGTAATATTACATAGCAATGTGCCCTCTTCACTTTTAGCCCACTCATATATAGCACACTTATGTTAGCTTTCTGTTACTATAGTAAGTACCTAAGCTAAATCACCTTATATGATAAAAAGGTTTGCCTGTTAGTTTTGCAGGTTTCAGTCTGTAGTTGGTCAGCTGGCTCTTTGCTTTGGGGCCTGTGGCAAGGCAGTATATCAAAGTGGTAGTGAGTGTCAAAGGAAATCCTCACTTCATAGCAGCCAGGAAGCAAAAGAAAGTGCTGTGCTTCCAATATCCACTTCAATAGCACACCCCTAGTGACACAGATTCCTTCTACTAATGCCTGTCTCCTAAAGGTTCCTTCTACCACCTCCCAATAGCATCACAGGTTAGGGAACAAATTTCAACACATGGCCCTTTGGGAGAGATTCAACAACCGAACTATAGGGCCAGGGATGTAGTTCAGGGGCCGGGTATGTAGCTCATCAGTGCAGCACCTGCCTGGTAAGCACAAAGCCCTGAGTTCGATTCCTGGTACCAAAAAAAAAAAAAATCCAACCTATTGCAGTATCTTAGTCCAAGTCTTAATAAATTAGGCTGATAGGAATCTATCTCCCACCTTGCATTCTCCTTTTCCCTTCCCAAAGAAGGCCCACACACTATCAGAATTCTGCTTCCCCAGCTTCTCTGAAGCTGACCTGACCTCCTCATGGCTGTTAACAGACTGGAAAGTTTCAGATATTCTTGATTTCTCGGAGTTTTAATATGGAACAAAAAAGCTAAGCTTTCTTGGGGCAATTTGTTGCTATCACAAATAATCATCTACACATCATGCTTCATTATTTATATCTTCTAGGGAGTGGACAGTTGTAAATTTTCCCTAGGATTGAACCTAGGGCCTTGCACTTATTAGGCAAGCACTCTATCACTTTCAGCTTTTTTTCTTTTTTGAGGTCTCACTATCATTATCTTGCAGTGCTGGAAAACAAACTCAGCCCTTATGTATGCTAGGCGAGCAGTCTTATCACTGAGACATACCACCAGGTCCCAAATTTCTTTTGTGAAAATTTAAAATCTAGTCTGTTGAAGGCAGCCTCTTGCTACAAGTATGGAAAGGGTAAGAAAACACTATCCCAACATTTGTAGCTCCTGCTTTGCCACTTTTCTCCCAAATCCCTCATTTACTCCTTCTGACAAGTAACATGACAGAGGTTGATATTACCCATGTGAAAACCAAGGCTTCCTGAACCTTGGCACTGCTTTTTGATTGAGCCTATGGTGACACACGCTTCTGAAAGACTAACACAGCAGTGATAAAATGGATTAGATGATGATAAAGTAGTGAAGATGCCTGAGGAAAAATCCACACACAAGGTTGGGGAAGAAACGGAGAGGAAAACAGACTTTAGAAAGATTAGGAGCTGGGGATTTAGCTCAGTGGTTCTGGTGCCTGCTTTTCAAGTGCAAGGTCCAGAGTTCGATCCCCAGTACAAAAAGAAAATGTATTTGACCTGTTTGGGCCAAGGATTTAGCTCAGTGGCAACATGCCTTGCAAGTGGAAGGTCCTGAGTTTGATCCCCAGTATGGAGGTGGGAGGGTGACCCCAAAGATTAGGAAAATAAACTGGGTGTGGTGGCACATGCCTATAATCCCAGCACTTGGGAGGCTGAGGCAAGGGGACTGCAGAGTTCAAGGCCAGCTTGGGCTACATAGTAAGTTCAAGGTTATCCTGAACTACATAGAGAGCCCTTGTCTCAACCACCCATTCCCATGCCCTGAAAAATTCAGGTGAAGTTGGATCTTAGCATGAACCTAAATGGAATTAAGAATATTTTCTGCCAGGTGTTGTGATTACAGGTGTGTGTGTGCCACCACACCTGGCCATTTAAGCTGAACTTTCTTGATGGAACAAATATGCAGGAGTCTTTTAAGATATATAGATTGAATATACCCTGAAAGTGCACTGAGTATACAGTACACAACAAAAGGTAAGGTGAGATCAATTAAGTATTTCATTTAAATATCAAGAGACAAAAGAATGCCATAACAAAATATTACCTAAAATATTTTAACTTCTAAAAGTTATTAAAATTTAAATAATTTCATTGTACAATAACTGGTAATATACTTCAGCAAACAGAAAGGTAAAATAAATCAGTTTAATTTACTTTTCAAGTTTAATACAATACAAACTCTTTTGCCCCACAGGAGGAATACAAAATTCAGCAAGGGTGAAAGGGGAACATTTAAATTAAATACTGTGTAAGACATTTGGCCAAAAGGATTTTTAAAAGTAAACCAAAGTTCAATTGGCATGAACTGCCAGTATGATTACAGTAGATAGCAGTTTTTAAAAATTTTAGTGCTGTGTGACTCCACAGCCTTGTGCATACATACCAAGCACACATTTTACAACTGAGCTATATTCCCAGCACTATGGTAGATAGAAATTTAAAACAAAACCAATTCAATCTGATTAACTCACGATTAACAGAAGTTTTCCTTTTATTCAGTTGTGAATAAAATAGCAGTCATTGTTTTAGCCAATGTGGCGATAGTATCAACTTCAGAAATGAGTTTCCTAGTCTGATGAATAAGAAGTTATCTTCTGTTGAAAAGACATCCACTTTTCAATGTAGTTCTTTTTCATTTGTGTCTTGTTTTCCAAATAAACTGTTCAGCTAATGTCTTGACAGTCTATTGTTCTAACACACTATATCTTCTAGAAGTCTGTCATATAACCATTTACTGTCATTGTCACTGGAACGTTCTATAGTTTCAAAAAGGTGTTTATAGCCCTGAGGGTACATATCACATGTTTTCATGTTAGTTTCAATTTTTGCTTTATTCAATATAGTCACTGGATCATATGGAGTCAATGAACTGCAAAAGAAATACAAAATAAATGTGCTTAATGCTTTTTCATAGCAACTATCAATTAATATTGAAAGATAGCTTCTAAGTCCAATTTAAAATGACTAACATACAATTAAGCTTATTTCAGAGCTTAAATATAATAAATGTAAGTTTATTTTTATTCCTAAAGGTCTATAGCTAACTTCTAATGCAAGTAACAGATTTAGGCTTTAACATATTCTAATCAATTCTTACACAAAATTCATTATTTATTTATCTCTTTTGAGACAAAGTCTTGCTTTGTAGTTCAGGCTGGCCTCAAACATATGACAATCTTCTTGCCTCAGCCTCCATGGTTGAAGATGTAACTGCAGAGCAGTTGCCTAGTATAGAGAAGGCCATAGGTTTGTTCCCCAGCACTGCCAAAAAACACTGTATCTGTCAACTCTTTTCTTCACTTTGTTCTAATTTATGTGTGGGGGTGGCATGGTACTGAAATCAGGGCTTCATGAATGCTAAGCACATGCTCCACTGCTGAGCCACACCCTTAGCCCTACAAAAATATTCTTAATGCCACCAAGGTTCATGTAAAAGTTCAAGAAGTACCTACCAACCGTTGGCTATTTGGTTTTTTTTTGTACCGGGGATCGAACTTGGGTCCTTCCGCTTGCGCAGCAGGTGGCGAAACCACTGAGCTAAATCCCCGGCCCAACCGTTGGCTATTCGGCAGGTCTTTTTTTTCTGTTATTGATCCTAGGGCTGGGCAGGCTGGGCCTACTGCCCCTGACCCACATCTCCAGCCCTCTATTTTTATTTGAGACAGGGTCTTGCTAAATTGCCCAGCTTGCAATTGTCTTTCCTTTGCCTTCTGAGTAGCTGGGATTACAGGCATGTGCCACAGCACCCAGCTTGTTTGGGAGTTTTTTGGTAATGGGGATTGAACTCAGGACCTTGCCCTTTTGTGGCAGGCAGCGGCACCACTGAGCTAAATCCCTGGCCCTTGTTTGGGAGTTTTTAAGGAAATCATTTTTCACATTTTTATATTGCAATCACTGGTGATTAAATTAGAAAAAAGAAAAACAATTTTTGGGTACCAGGGATCAAACTCAGGACCTTGTGCTTTCGAGGCAGGTGCTGGAACCACTGAGCTAAATCCCCAGCCCCCAATTTTTTATATATTAGCAAAACACCATCAATAAACCACTGACAATAAGTAAAAATACCTGTAATGCAACAGTTTGTGAGAAAATATTTCCAATATTTTTAGATATAGAATAGATTCTTGGTCATATTAGAGATTTCCAAGGGAATTTCTGTACCAGTGTTTACTGTACTTATTCCTTATTTCCCTATTTTCTTGACATCTACATTCAAAATGGCCACCATCACAAAGGGCAAAATGAAAAATAGGTTACTTTTATTGGTCTATTGCCAATTTAAAAATTGATTTTTATAAAAATATTGTCCATTTCATTGTTATATATTAAATGACGATCTAATTACTCTGGATAACTTAGGCTGTTGATTGTGCATACCTTTACATATCAGCCCCATTTAAAAATTATATAATGTAGCTAATAACAGTTAGAATTTTTTGTTTGTTGTTTTTTGAGAGGGTCTTGCTATGTACTTCAGACTAGTCTTGAACTCATGATGTAGCCCAGCCTAGCCCTGAATTTGTGGCAATCCTCCTGATTGTCTCCTGAGTGCTGGAATTACAGGTATCCAGCACCATGCCTGGCACAGCTACAATTTTTTATAAGTTTTAGATGGAAACATAAAAATTTGTCCAGGGCAAGAAAACCAGGATGGTATGATGATCCATCCCTACTTTGGTTAGGAAACAGAACACACAGATAATAACAAGAGCTAGATGGCAAATATACCACAGTAATTCTGACTCTTCTCTAAACCAACTAGTGGCGAGCAGATAGTTACTCCTGTAGCTTAAACTCAGATAAAGATAAAACAACTTGTGGGAATCCCAGGTTGCCTCTTCAAAGAAGGAAAATAAATGAAGCTCAATGAGAGAGTATGTACAAAATATATCTTTTTCTGAATGTACACCAGAGAGAAGAAATACTAAGAAATATATGTGAAACATGGGTGCATTACACTTCGTCAAAATAAGAAAAGTAGACTTCTAACATAAAAGATTGGCACATTAAATTGCTACTTTTATACTCACTTTTACTCTTTACTTACTGTAAATGATGTGTTAGAAAGGCACTACGCCTCCCAAAACATTGCTTTACCATGTGAAAAAATATATCATAATTAATAGGAGTTAAGTATTCGGTAAATAAAGTTTTACGAGGAGTGATCTGAATGAAACACAGGTTTTGATGTTTTGATGAACACTGGAGAAAAGGGAAAATACTGTTAGTCATAAAATATTACCAGAGCAAAACTTATTTACTTATTTAAAACAGGTTACTTATTATTCCTTCACTACTTCTGCAAAGATGCAATCACCACAGTCCTCAAGTGCATTTTCTTTCTGGGTGTGTCAGGAATGCAAGCGCTAACTCTGCTTTACCTGGGCCATCTCTCAGAATTGTTTGCAGGGAGCAACCTTGAGGGTTTGCCACTCTCCAGGATGGAAGCGCATGCTTTCCTATTGATTCCTCCAGCTCTGTGTTCCTCAGGTGCATGCGAACCGGCTACATGGATAGCATGCACCTGAGCCATTCCCTCACTCCATGGGGTGGAGCTGCAAACAGCGTCCATTGTCTCATCTAGAAGTCAGTATCTTTGGCCAACATCCAAGCAATAACACAGTAAAATCAAACCCAAACATAACATTAGCACATTCTGAGTCCCTGCTATTGTCAAGGTCTATCTCCACCATCAGATTGTAGGCTAAGAAAATATTACTGGCTTACAAGTTTTTTCTTTTCTTTCTTATGAGACAAGACCTGACTATATCGCCCAGGGGGGCCTCAAACACTTGGGCATAAGCCATCCTCTTGCCTCAGGTGGATAGTTCCACACCTGGAACTACAAGTGTGCACCATGATGCCTAGTTGACTTGTAAGTCTCAAGCAAAACAAAACAAAACAGTAGAAATGTTTCAATTAGATGGAAATGTAAGTTGGCCTAAAGAAAGAAAGAAACAAAATTTTTCATGTTATTAAAAAGAAACTGTGTTATATATGTTTATTCATTTTTTGGATAAATCCGCAATGGTATCCAAGCCAAAGTGCATTATTTTGACTAAATCTTTTGAGATTATACACATTATTGTTAGGAATAGTGAAAAAGAACTAAAATCACCATAACTGATCATTTTAAAATCAGATCATTTCTAAACTGATAATTTTCTTTCTCTTTTAGAGGCAAAGCAAATGAGATCGTCAGACTGAGCTGATGATATGAGTATAAGGTCATTAGTGTCAAGTAGAACTTTTGAACTGAGTCCAAAAATTGTTTTGAGCTGGGTGTGGTGGCGCACGCCTGTAATCCCAGCACTTGGGAGGCTGAGGCGGGACTGCCACAAGGTTGAGGCCAGCCTGGACTACATTGTAAGTTCAAAGTCAGCCTGAGCTACACAGCAAGACCCTCTCTCTCAAAAAAAAAAATTCTTTTGAAACTTCAGTTAATATATTAGAATTTCATAAGTATCTCTAAATAGAGGACCTCTTTATAATATCATCACATCAGTTCTTTAGACAGGGAAAAAACAAATAAAAATGAAAGCCTTATTTCCTAGGTTAAAAACCAATATGTACCTATTGGTGATTTCAATCATATAAGAAATAACTAATACCATAAATTTGATTAAGAGTATAAAATTTTGTTTTTGGTTTATCAAGTTAGATGAACATCAAATGCTAATCTCAGAAATGCATTTTAGAGATAAGCTTCATTTTTATGCTTCAGCATATCCCTACAATACATTTTAAAAGGAAGTATATTTTTATTTTAAAAGAGATAAATAGCACTCAGGAGGCTGAGGCAGGAGGATCACTATGAATTCAAGGCCAGCCTGGGTTACACAGTGAGTTCAAGGCCAGCCTGAGACAAAAAACAAAACAAAACCAAAAAAACAACAAACAAACAAAATAGAAAAAGTCAGAGTCCAATTTAAGCCTATTACTAAGCTAGCATCTACTATAGAATAGCTAATAAATGTAACTTTCAAAATAATTTATTAAAAATAATAAACTCTGCTTAAAGGACACTTGTAGTTATTCTAAAGTTCTTTTCAAAAACACAGAATATAAGATAATCTCAAAGAAAATAAAGAATATTCCATTAAAGGAGAAAAAGGGACAAGCATTAATTTGCTTTTACCTTAGCAGCTGGTTGTCTTTTCTTGATGTGCCCATCCAATGCTGCAACAGGTGCCTTGAAAGCAAAACACCAAACATTTCTTTTAGTTCCCCCTGGTCAAAGCGCCCACATTATGACCTAAAAATATCACATTTAGCCAGATGCAGCAGGGGCATGCCTGTAATCCCAGCTCCTTGGGAGGCTGAGGCAGGAGGATTTCAAGTTCAAGATTAGCCTGGGCAACTTAGTGAGACCATGTCTCAAAATAAAGTCGAAAGGGCTGGTGGTACAGTCAGTGGTGGAGCACTTCTCTAGCCTATGTGAGATCCTGGATTCATTCCCCAGGTTGGGGAGCAAGGTGAAAAAGAGAATGATTTAAATCCAGGTCACTCTCTAATTGGATTTAAGAAAAACACCTGATATTTGCACAGTATATATATTTTTCTCTGATTTCCATATTAGAGTCATGGAAATCATGCTAGTTTAAGGATGTAGATCAGTACTGAGAATTTGTTTTGCCCTACTTTAGAGCAAAAGCCTACTAATCAAATTAATTTGAATGTGTTAGGGCATATAAGAGACACAAATAAAGATGTGTCAGTCTTCAAATCACCATTACTTTTTCATATCTAACACTTGCCTGTCTGCGGAATTCCGGGCAGTTCCAGGAATGTCATTTTAAGCAGAGGGAGGCAAAGAACTCATAATAGTGTACAAGGGCCCTCCAGTTTCCCAAAGCCTGGTTCAGGTCATGGCAGCGACAGCAGAGGACATTCACTTTTGCTAACTGAAGCTACAGCACAGAAAAATCTGTAAGACCCTGGGAATTTAGCTCAACAATTACTTGACAGTTGAAGATTTCCAAGGGAAGAAGTGCTAACAAATGTTGGCTCCAGAAAGACCCCCTTTCTGGAAGTTAATAAATGAGAAAACAAAGGACTTTTGAAAACAAACACTAACGGGCCAGGGATTTAGCTCAGTGGTGCCACTGCCTGCCTCACAAGCTCAAGGTCCCAAGTTCGATCCCCGGTACCAAAAAAAAAAAGAAAACAAATACTAAGGAACAAGAAGGAAATATTATTAGAATTTTATTTATTTTCATTTTCTGAGGTATTGGGAATTAAACCCAGGGCCTCTACATTGAGCCCAGCCTCCTTAAAATTTTTACTTTGTGACATGGTCTCACTAAGTTGCTAATTTGCCCAGGTTGGGGGTTAAACTGCCTGGGCCTCCCAGGGATCTGGAATTACAGGCAGGTACCACCAGGCCTGGCTAGAAATATTACCCTGTAAATGAAAGGCCTCAGGAGGCCTCTAAGAAGAAACCAGCTGAAAGCTCTGAGAACAGAAGAGGCTGAGATGAAAAGTCAACAGCATAAAGTGAGACCAATGGAGTAAAGAAGGATTTTAAGAAAACCAAGTACAACAGTATGAAGATCATAATATACAGTAGTGGTAGAAAGCAGGATCAGGGATGCAAAAAACTAAGTATAAAAAGATTGCTGGAATAACTGGAATACAGGAAAATGAGAAGGAACAGGTTAGACACCAAAGTCAAGGATCAGGAATCCAACCTAAGGACTTCAGTGCTTTTTGGAGAGAGCTGGAACGAAAGCTCAATGAAGATAACATTCTTAACCTTGATATACAGACAGAAGGGTTCAACATGTTCCCAGACAAAAGCAGGGAAGAGAGTACATCAAGATAAACAAAACATAAAACAAATATAGCCTTCGCAAATCAAAGGTCTATGAAATACACAACTAGAGTCATTCCTCATGTCTGCAGGGGACTGATTCCGGGAGTCCTTCCAGTATCAACCTGAGGCTTCTCCAGTCCCAAGTGGCACAGTATTTGCATATCTGCTCACACCCCTCCCCCCTTTAAATCATCTCTAGATTACTTATAAACATAATAGGAATGCCATGAAGTAGTTGTTATCCCGAACTGTTTAGGGAATAACAACAAGAAAAAAATTCTGTTCAATACAGTCATAATAGTTTCTTAAGCATATTTTCTAACCAAAATTGGTTCAATCTGTGTATACTGAATGAACAAAGATGGCTGACTGTCTATGTCCTTAAAAACTACTTGAGCTGGATGTGGTGGCGCATACCTATAATCCCAGCACTTGGGAGGCTGAGGCAGGAGAATTGTCTAGGGTTGGAGGCCAGCATGTGCTACATGGTGAATTCAAGGCTAGCTTGCACTCATAAAGTGAGACCCTGACTCAAACAAACAAACAAACAAAAAAGCACAAATAAACCACGTGAAATCTGGATGTGGTGGTATATACTTGTAATCCCAGCACTCTGGGCAGCTGAAGCAGGAGGAACACTAGTACAACAAATGTGAGCCCAGCCTGGGCAGCACTGAGTGGGACCTTGTCTCAAAAAAAATTTTTCAAAGGCTAGAAATGTAGCTCAATCATCAATACTATAGTAACACAAAAAAACAAACCCCTATTTGATACATACTCTGGTCAAAAACAAGAGAATGGGATAATTATGGCATGAAAGACTTAATACTCATCTTTTTTAATGCTCTAGCAATCTGCTATAAAATATGGTACTTTGAGGCAGATGTGGCTATGGAATATGGGAAATCTGTATGGAATTGAGACATGCTGTAATTGTATAAAATATACTGGATTTCAAAGATTTAACATGAACACAAATATGTAAATTATGTAACAACTAATTTTTAAATTTTTATTTCTTCAGTACTAGGGATCAAACTCAGGACCTTGAGCTTGCCAGGCAGGCGTGGCATGTAACTAATTTTAAAATACTGATCATACACTGAAAGAACAATTCATTGATTGATTGATTGGTTTTTGAGACAAGGTCTCACTATGCAGTCCAGGCTGGCCTTGAACTCACTACGTAGCCAAGGCTGGCCTCAACAATTTTTAATTGACACAGGAATGAATAAAACATGAATTTCATCTGTTCACTTTTTATAATGTGGCTACTAAAAACTGTAGATACATATGTGATTCACATTACATTTCTATCAGACCATGCTTGGTCTTCCATAAGGAAATTAACTAAAAAGAAGAACGCTCTATAATGAACTATTAAGTAGCCCTTAAAAACTTAAGAAAAAGCCAAGTGTAGTGCCACATACCTGTAATTTCAGCACTTTGGGAGTCTGAGGCAGGAGGATCACAATTTCTAGCCCAGTGTGGGAAACTCAGTGACTAAGTGAGAATTTGTCTTCAAACAAAAGGGGAACTGAGGATGTATGTACCTCAGTGCCAAGGTTCAATTCCCAGTTCAAAAGCAAACAGACCTCCAAACTTTCAAAAAGTGTTCAGTGACAAAAGAAAAAGTTTATATCTATTAGCTATGAAGTGAAAACAATGATATACAAAACAATATAATCTGCACTACACAAAGAAAAAGAACAGCACTAAATATGTTACATATGTCAATTGTTACTCGATTACAGAATTGTAGTGATGACTTTTAAAACATTTCTTCCTTTTTGTTGAGGGGGAAGCAATACAGAGGACTGAACTCAGGGCTTTTATAGTGAGCTACACCCCCAGCCCTTTTATTTTTAATTCGAGGCAGGGTCTCCCTAAGTCACTAAGTTGCTCAGGGTGGGCTTGATCCTCCTGCCTCAGCCTTTCTCTCATTTTTAGAAACTATGTTTCCTAGCCAGGTGTGGTGGTGCATGCTTGTAATCTCAGCACCTGAGGAGCCGAGGCAGGAGGAGCGCTGCAAGTTTAAGACCAACCTGAACTGCACTTCGAGACCTTGTCTTGACACACTCACCCCAAGTTTTCTATCGTCAATTTGCATATCTAATTTTTATGATGAGAGAAACAAATATTTACCACAAAAATACCTACTGTCACAAAGTTAACTTGCCCTAACCTTGAAGAGTTGGAAAAATAATCTTTTAAATTAATCTTTAGTATGTAATCTCTGCTTACTAGCTCCTCTGAAATGTAATACAATGCTCTCTGGTACTTTTTTTTTTTGGCGCTGGGGATTGAACTCTAGACCTTGCTACTTGTGAGGCAGGCGCAGTGCCACTGAGCTAAATCCCCCACCTTCTCTCTTGAAATGCAGAAGGATTTTACTCACCTTGTAGAGAAGCTTAATCTCACAAGATACTTGCCAAAGCACACTTAATACGTGATACAAATTTGGATTTGTGGGATCTGCAATTAGTTTCTAGTCAAAGGAAAATAAGAATAGTGGTTTTATATATATATATATAAAATATCGCCAATCAAAATCAAATGTTGAATCTTAATAACACCTAGACATTTAAATTAAAGATTAGAATTAAGTGCAAAATCTGAACCATAACTAGGTTCAGTCTTTCCACTCATTTTGAAAACATATCAAGTACCCTTAAAATTCAACGTATTTGAGACTGATTTCATTTAACTGTGTGATCTATCAGATAAAATCTCATTAAAGAAAAGCTGAAATAAAAATAACAGCTAATAATTTAGCTACGAACATGAACAAAATAATTCCTATCCTATGGCTCCTGCAACACAGCAGAGCAGAAAGTATTAGCTAAAAACATGAATAATTAACTTGGGGCTTGTACTGTGGAGGAGAGGCAAGTCAGAAATACTGTCTATCAGATGGGATATTAAATTTTGAGTTGAGTTGTTAAGGCTGACAACTGAAGGCTTAGATGTTACCTCAGTGAATCAAAGGGAAATCATACAAAGTCCACAGAAGCTGGGTGTTGTAGTACATGCCTGTAATTCTACCACCTGGGAGGCTGAGGGAGGATTTATTTGAATTCAAGGCCACCGTGAACCAGAGTAAGACTCTGCCTCAAATAAATAAATAAATAAATAAATAAATAAATAAATAAATAAATAAATAAATGTATGTTCACAGTAAAAGAAGTAGAACTATTTAAACATTTTCCAAGTGCCTGATAAAATCTGATGGAGCACTTCCTATTGCTCTTCCTTTCCTTCTTTTATTTACTGTATGATAGACTCAAGGATCTGAGCCCCTACTCTATGAACTAGTCAATGTTTATTTACTATCTGGATGAGTAAATCATCCCTTCATTTTTTACCCTAGTATCCCCAAGCCATAGCGCGCCATATGTACAAATAAACACTTCTATTGCTGGGATCAACAGGCTGATAACATGAAGCATTCCAGGCAAAAAAGAAACATTACTCCCACAGCAAAAGCAAGGACTTCAGGAGACCCTATCATTACAGGGAATAAAAAGTAGACTGTTAAGTAAAACTTACAAGAGGCCAATACTTTGGACCAAACTTCTGTAGTAGCCCAACTGATCAGGCTAAAAATAAAAAAAAAATTTAAACTTAACAACAAAAAGCCAGGCATGATGGCACACACCTACAATCGCAGCACTGGGGAGGCTGCGGCAGGACTGTCATGAGTATGTCAGCCTGGGGTACATAGATGAGTTCAAGACCAGCCTGAACCCTGTCTCAAAAAAACATGAAAAACAACAAACCCAATCATAATCTAAACATTGTTGTACAGAAATCTAGAATTTTAGTACTCTTAATATCTTAATCCCTAAATTAAAATTATACAGGTTATGAATACCCAGAAAAATTATAGAACTCTTTCAAAACAAAAAACCCCAGCTATTTGTTAATCTTACCTCATATTGGCTTTCACTGATAAACATACAGAGCTGTACTCGGCCATATCTATATATAGAAGAACAAGTATACACATCATGTAAAAGTTTCCAAAGTGGCTTCATTTCATTTTTCTGAGGGAATATTCCAACTACTTTAAATGGAATATCTGTTAAGAAAACATGCAAAAAGAAAGTTCTTACTACTTTTTCCTTTATTTTATATAGGCAAACTAGTTAACAATTTTATTTTTTAATTTTTTTATACAGGGTCTCCCTGTATACTGCAGGCTGGCCTTGAACAAGCAGTGATCCTCCTGTCTCAGCCTCCCGGGTGCTGGGACTACAGGTGTAATTTTAAATCAGTTAACAGTATCTTTCTGTTACCTGGCCTTTGAGGAAATCAAATGGCTGTGTCAAGGGGAGGGGACACGATAATCTACACTGTTCAGGAACTTGACAATATGAACTGTACACAAACCTACTGATAACACAGGTGTACTGCTAAAGGAAGCTGGAAACTATAGGGCACTTGCTTTAATGAATGGCAAAAATTACCTTCTGACCAAGAATTTGCTTTTATTCCCAAACTCGGAAAGAGCTCTTGTGAAAGCACGACGGGTGGTCGCACTGTATTATGATTATCAGGATCCATTTTAAAGAAGTCACAATGGACCACTTGTAGTTTTCCATTTAGCTTTCCCCCTAAGGACTAAAGACATAAAGAGGTAACATGTTAGGAAATTTCAGCATTATGTAGACTTTGCAACAACTCAAAGATCAACTTTATAAAAATAACCCCCCCCAAAAGATCTTACAAAAGATCTCACTACCTTCATGAAGATGTTAACGAAAATATTACTTACACATATAAACCTTTAACAGAGGAAATAAAGTGTAAAATATTACCAAGAAAAAGCCCCCTAAACCAACATAACCTTCAGCAGGTTGATAGAGCACTTGCCCAGCATGCATAAGACCCCGAGTTTCATCAAACAAAGAACAACAAAAATCTTCAAAATATTTTACTTACCCCCCCCAACCTTTTACCAGGAATCCAACTTAGCACCTTGCACTTGCCAGGGAGGCATGGTGCCACTAGCTGAGCTACATCCCCAGCCCTATCCTTCCTTTATCTTAATGGCTTGAGCTGTTCAAAAAGCTTCTTCGCACTAGTCTTTAAGTGCTTAGTTGGGCTACCTGGAAGAATGGGCCAAGACTCTGAGAACATTGCTGGCCTCAGATAGAGAACTGTAAGGCATCTGTGAGGGTCTCAGGAAGACGAAATGAAAGATGTTTCTCAGTAGAGAAAATAATGAAAATATTAAAGCAAAAGGCAGATGAAGCCAGGCATGGCGGTACAGGCCTATAATCCCAGCCCTGTAGGAGGCTGAGGCAGGAGGATCATACTTTCAAAGCCAGCCAAATAGAGATTACGCCATCTAGGAAGTTGTATATAGAAAAAGTAACTCAGTGAAGAGGTTCAAACTGAAAGTGTAACTTAGTGAGAATTTGAGTTCTTGAAGTAAATTAAAGCTTGTGGAGAAATACAGAAGAGTAGGCTGGAGGATGGTGTAATTCTACTATCTAACAAAAGGAAGCCAAGGAAAAAACCACAAGAATGTAATGTTGTGGAAGCTAAAGGAAAAGAGTGCTGATGTAATGCATGTTTATCTTTAAACTCTAAAAATCACTCAATGTATATAGTAATAAAATAACTGACAAGATATCAAAAAGATATGCTTTAATCTCTTTAATATTAAGATGATGAATTTTGATTTGATGAAAATGTAAAAAAAGGGGGTAAACTTTAGTATTGTTACAGTTGTATTCTGAGAGGATAGAATACATTTCGGCTTTAGAATTTATCATTTACCATTCAACAATTCAAACAGGAAGACACCTAAAGCTTCCAAATAATTAATGCAATTCATATGGTAATTGTAAGGTCATACTTTAGACTGCATATAAGATTCAAAACTGGCAAGCAAAAAGGAACAGAGCAAAGTAAAGGAACCCTGGAGTTTTTCTTATAGTCATTAAGTCTGGCAGCTTATATAAGTGTATCTCATTTAAACCTCATCGAAGCTGGGTGTGGGTATGCATGCTTGTAATCCTAGCACTTGGGAGGCTGATGCAGGAGAATCTTTACAAGTTCAAGGCCAGCCTGGGCTAAATAGTGAGTTCAAGGCTGGCCTGACCTGCATAGCAAGACCCTGTCTCAAAAAAAATTTTTTTTTGTACAGGTGGGTATTAGTATCTCTCATTTTATATATAGCCTCAGAAAAGTTAAATTACTTACCTGCAACCAGTCTTAAAACTAGGAAGTACTAGGGCTGAGATTCTGCCTGATTTGAAGACTGATGTAAGATAGCATTTATCATAAAAGCTGATGTCCCTTTAGCTGAACATACACAGCTATTTCTGTAAGAATTTTTTTCAAAATTCAAATGGATATGTTATTTATCATTATGGAACACAATTCCCAACATGTGTACTATGTCTAGTACATCCAGATAGGAAAATAAACTTCTTTCATGGAACACTGTTACTGTGGAATTCCAGGACTTTTATGATGGAAATGTGAGGGAGGGGGGAATTTAAGTGAGATAAAAATTCAGAATCCCTGAAAATCCTTTCAGGTTTTAGGAGTAAACCGAGAGCCTTTAGGTTGCTAGAAACAGTGTCTCCTAATTGATTTTAGGCTCCAAAGGTTCTATTTACACATTACTTTTATTCTGGCAAATGAATAAACCAATACAAAACTACTTGAATGGCTTTTCCCTTTTTACGAAGATGGTTAATAAAAGTGAATGAATATGCACTGAAGCTGCATATGAAGGGTGTGTGCTTAGCAAGTGAGGCCCTGGATTCTATTCCCAGCAAAGGGGATGGGGGGTTGAGGATGAGAAATAAAAGTCTGAAAAGGAGGAAAAAACAATTCTAATCAAGGACTGAATTCAGTCCATGATGTTTACATTCACAAACATTTTATTACTGATATTCCTATGAGAATTATTGTGTCAAAAATTTTCTAGTTCCTATCTTTTTTTTTACTAAAGCAACTGTTTTTTAGATCTTACAGAAACTTTTTTTTTTAAATGGGGGATTAAACAAATTCCCAATGATAAATGTCATATTATATACCTAAAATGTACCAATAAACTTAATGTATAAAAAAAGTTTAATATTTAAAAATAAAATAAATAAAATGAGGGATTGAGCCTAAGGCCTTCCAACTGTACTACATCCTTAGCCTTTTTTCATTTTTATATTCTGAGATAGGGTCTCTCTAAATTGACCACGCTGGGCTCAAATGTGCAATCCTCCCGCTTCAGCCACCCAGAGTGCTGGGATTACAGGCATAAGTAATAAATAATAAAGTGCCATAAATAACACTTTAACCTTGCTACCTTTAAAGATCCCATAGAAAAACTACTATTGTGTTAAATACTTACAAAATTTAAATAGAAACACTGTAATGGCATCTTAAATCATCTTGTGTACAATGAGATTAAGGACAGGCCATAGCGCTGGGAAATCAAACCCTGGACCTCACACCTGGTAGGCAAGCACTCTACAGTGAACTACCTCCAGCCTGGAACAATTTTATGTGTTTTCCCTTTTCTTGCCTTCTTTTCCTTCCTTTCCTCTTTGAAAATACTAGCAGACGCTAACATCAATTAAATAATGTTGCCTGGGCTGGGGATTTAGCTCAGTGGTTCCGGCACCTGTCTCACAAGCGCAACGTCCCAAGTTCGATCCCTGGTACTGAAATAAATAAATAACGTTGCTAAAATCTTGAATTTTCAAAGCAGTTGTATGTAGAATAACAGTATTCTTTCCTTTTTGCAGCACTGGCGATTTAATCTCAGGGCTTGTGCTCAAAGTTTCATCTTCTAAAAACTTAAATTACTATTTTCATAGACATTTCTACAACTTTTTGGTCGTACTGTGCTTTAAGATAAAGTCATTCAGGGCCGGGGATTTAGCTCAGTGGTTCCAGCGCCTGCCTCGAAAATGCAAGGTCCTGAGTTCGATCCCTGGTACCAAAAAAAAAAAAAAAAAGTCATTTATACCATATAGATTCAGGAGATTGGCATAGAGAAGTATGAGTTTCCTAAATTCAATGTAGAGATTTGTAAAGATGGGAAAGAAAGAGAGAGGAAAAAAGAAAAAAAGCTGGCAAGAAGTGCAAGGACTGTCCATTTAATTACTGTTATATGAATATGTCTGCTGTGTAAGAGGCAGAATCACTGAAAAATCCATCTGGATAATGCCCACTCTGTACAATTGTATATAACTATCCAAAATCTTTCTTGCCTCTGAAATCTTAGATCCAGAGTTTACATAGTTCTACTAATGTAATGTTACCACAGCATAGCCTACTAAAAATAGGAAACAAGCCGAGTAATACCAATTGTATACTCTATTTAGTCATTAAACTAATCTGTAGCAGAGTGCGGAAGTGGAAAGATGTGATACCTTTCCTATCACAAGGGTCCCAGCCTAGACTCCTATAATGAAAGACGTGAACAAGAAAGAGTGTAACAAATTTATTTAAGATCGTGCTCGCTTCGGCAGCACATATACAAATTTATTTAAGATAAATTTAATGTACACAAGAGCCTTCAGAACTAAGAACCAAAGATCCAAGGAAAACTGTCCATTTTTATGCTTAGAGTCAGTGAAGAATGGACAGCTGTATGGAGATGTGATTTTTCAAAAAGGGTGTGATGTAATGTCACAGGCTGAAGGGAGGAAACTCAGTAAGGCCTATTCAGATTCCTGGCCTCTCTGCAGCGTTCCTTCTTTCCTGGGGATACGCAGGACTCCTGGACTGAAGGTCTCACGATCTACTATTAGACAAAGTAGGTCAGAGAATTTCTTTATGGCTAGCTTGGGGAAAGGTTTCAATAATATTTTTAGGCTTTTATGGCTTGCTTTGGGAAAAAGTATTTCTAGCATCTGTGACTCTCCTCGGGGAACAGGCAATCTGGTTTCTATGACTCAATGCATTGGAGAAAAACGTGTAAGAGACAAGAAAGCAGAAGGTCAAAGAGATCTCATTTCTGAAGCTGCTTCAGAGGGCTTCCATTGTCCCCATTTCAAAGTACTCAGCAGACCACCGCACATTTTGGGGTATCATGTTCTCAACCCTAATAAGCATTAATACCAGAAAACAAGTCTCAGAACTCCCAAATTTTTATTCAACAAGCACTGGATACTTAATGTGTTCTATTCACTAAAGAAGATATTTATGATATGGCCCCTAAAAGACAGTCCATAAAAATATGAGTTTAATTTTCCTTCCCTAAATCATTCAATGTTACCGGCTGAACAGTAAATTATTTCCAGGAACTAAATTGTACCTTCACATGTGGAATAAAGCTTTTGTCACTTTCAAGCGCAATCACTGAGGCACCGGTTTTTAGTAAGGCCTTAGTCAGGATTCCATGACCTAGTATAATAACACAACAGAAAGTTATGTGCAAAAGAAATAACATCTCTTTAATGACAAGTTTTTCTTAGTGGTTACACAAGTATTACCTAATTTTAATTTTCAAAACATCCCCAATATTACTCTTTTTACCTATAAGGGAAGTAGGAGTTAGTCACTTGACTCCAAAATCCCAGTAAGTGGTAAAGCTAGCTAGGTTTTGAATCTGGTCTGTCATCAGGGACTGCAAAATTTGCATTTTGGGGGGGCGGGGGCAGGACAGGGGCTGGCCTTCAACTCACTAGTAGCCCAGGCTGAGGTGAATTTATGGTGATCTCCTGAGTGGTGGGATTAGAGGTGTTTGCCGCCACACCTGGCTCAAAATTTGCACTAATCTACTACTCATATATATAAGAAAAAAAAAAAAACACCGCTTACCCGTGGCCTATCCAGACACTTTAACCATCAAAAAAATACTGTCAAGCATAAACAGAACTGACTCCTTGGGACAGGAAGTAGTGCTTTAAAAAACAGCAAAGACTACAAATCAGCATTCTGTCATAATCTATATGAAAGGCATAAGAAGGGTAAAAGAGCCTGACATGGTGCAAGCATGTAATCCCAGCAATCTGGGAGGCTGAGGCAGGAAGATCCCGAGTTCCAGAATCCGCCCCGGGGGAGTTAGTGAATGCTTGTCTCTAAGTAAAAAAGTTAAAAGTGGACCCGGGATTTAGCTCAGTGGTTCCGCCGCCTGCCTCGCATGCTCAAGGTCCCAAGGTCGATCCCCGGTACCAAAAACAAACAAAAGTTTAAAGGGATAAGGATGTGACCCAGCGCTCCCTGGGTCCAATCTTAGGTGAAAGCTAGGAGCAAATCTTACCAAAATACTGTGTAAAGTGCAAACTGCTACAGAATATTTTGTGGTACCTTTACTAATACAGACAATTCGTTTATGTTCTCGGCAATCTCTCCGGTAAGCTGCTTCAAGCAAAGGGCAGGGCATTAAACAGCACCCCATGAGTAGTTAATACAATCTGCACAAACGAAGAACATCTAAGAAACCCAACCCAGACGAACTCACGGGGATTGCACTCCATGATTATGTGGCGATGTCCATTTTCCCCCAACTGCAGTATTTGCACCAAGGTTGCAGCCAATGTCGGGCTCAATACGGAACCCTTGGAAAAGAGGCCGTACGTAGACGTCGGGGTTGATTCCCTGGGACCCTCATACGGCAACAGCTTTGGGCAGGAGTCACTCCTGCCACGGCGGGGAATGGCCCCCAAGTCCTTCCGCATCGCTGCTGCCGACCTCCAAAAGCAAAAGCGACCAACGCCTGCCAAAACTGACGGCGTCCGCCGCGGAGGAAGCACCGCTGCTGGGCCCCACATCTTCGTCTCTAAGGCCTTTCTCAGTGATCACCCAGAGACCCTTCTTCGGTGCACGCGAAGCACGGGAGCCCACGTGCTACATCTTGCCGCCCGACCAGGCCTCCGGAAGTAAACACTACGCACTGCTCAAGCGAACGAATCTTCCCAGGAGCTTTCCTCTCCACTTCCGCTTCCGTTCCAGCTCAGCCGCCAGAGGATTGTGAGTGGGCCGACGAGGAAAGAGACCGGCCATCCGGTTGGGTCCGCACTCGTACTCTATGGTTGCCCGCCCTCGGAGCTTCCTCTCTAGCCCCTCGCGCTCTATGCTCCGAGGTCTCGGGTCGGCCAGCCAGCAGGGAGGGGCGCGCACAGGGAGGCGGGGCGGAAAGGCGAGAGGTGTCTAATCCGCCCGAGCCGCGGGAGACCCGAGCGAGCTCCGTGACAGCTCGTCGGCCGCCATGTCAGCGAGCGGAGCGAGAAGCGCGGCCGGCGCCCGGTGGTAGCCCTGCCTGTGCCTCGGATTCCCAGGTGAGAAGCGGGAGAGCGGTCAGCCGGGATGCGAAGCCTCGGGAAGCCCCTCGCTCCTCCCCCTGCGCTGCCCTCCTCCCGCGGCACCGCCTCTGCCCTCGCGGCGACACCTCGCCGGGCGCCCTCACCTCGCCAGCCCCTGCAGTCGCCTGTTTTCCTCTTTTCCCCGGCGGCGTGGGGCTCCTATTTCTGCGCATCGCGCCAATTTCTCCCTCTCCAGGGACGGGCGCCAGGGCGTTCCGCGCCCGCCTCCCCGGAGAGCTGCGGCTTCTGATTTCCCCCGGTCTCGGCTGCCCTGTTACCCAGAGCCTGGGCTGCCCACCCCCTCCGACCTGTCGCCCCCACCTCCTCCACCACCACTTTGGTTGGAGCCACCTAAGTGTCCCTCCCGTACCTCCCTCAGCGGCAGTATTTACCTTACTTAATTCGCGCGTTTGAAAGACATAAATTGAAGATAAAAAAATTGAGATTCAAAAGCTTAAAATTCCTTTCTTGGCAGATTAAAACCTCAGGGGTGCTTATTTTATTCTATGTGTAAACTTACTCTTAAATATACTGTACTGTGGAGTGCAATGTAAAAGACCAATTCCTAAAAATAGGATGCTGTAATGGAAATTTTGGCAGTCTGCTGGACAGTGTTAGAAGACCCGATTCTTTGAGAGCGTTCTCAGGATTTGAGGATCATACTCAGAAAGCGCTTTACCCATTATCCTTTCCATTAAAGCAGAAAACTGCAGCCAGTCACCTCCTTAGTTTAAAATATGTACAATCCTTTCTGCTTACTCTACAAGCATAATTGAGCTTGGTGTTTAAATGCACAAGGAAAAGGTTTCTGAGGAATGTATTACCTAATAAACAGCCTGAAGATGATTTTCAGCTGATGAAATTTAGATGGATAAAGAATTGATAGCTAAACACCACCTTTTTGGATTACTGGGGCATGAAACTATCTAGTCAGCTGTGCTGGACACTCTGGGGACTTACTCGTTGATTTTAATTTCTTCAGGTCTTTCTATGAAAAATTTTTAGAAGTGACTTTTGCATCCTCTCAACACCTGAGAAAGCTTTTCCCCCCTTCTTTAAAAAAATTATCATAGATTTAGAAATACACTGGTCCCCCAAGAGCCTTGGAGGCCTAAATATTTTAAAATCAAATAAAGCCAAATGATGTCTTATGGTAGCAGAAGAACACGACCCACTCTGAAATATATTATTGAATTTCTCACTTTTAAAATATAGTTTTTAGGGCTGGTTGTATAGCTCAGTGGTAGAATGCTTGCCTAGCCTGCTCAGAGCCTTGGGTTTGATCTCTAGCCCCACACACATTCACAGAAATACATATATCTTGCAAATAACATTACTGAAAAAAATACTTATTTTAAAATCCATTCTCTTATCTTATAATGCTTGGGGGCCAAAGTTTGCCTACTAAGTCCTAGAGAAACTGAGGTGATTCTTTTTTAACTTTGTTTTTTAGTATTTTCTTTTGGTTTTGGGAAAGATAATTCAGTTATAATTTTTTTTTTTTTTTTTGGCACCGTAGATCGAACTCAGGTCCTTGCGCTTGCGCAGCAAGCGGCGAAACCACTGAGCTAAATCCCCGGCCCCAGTTATAATTCTTTTTACAGTCTTTACGGTTAACTCGCTGTGGTTGAAGATCCTTAAATAATAGAGACAGAATGCCATACTATTTTTTTTAAAACCCATATGCTAAAAATATAAGAAATGTCCATGTCACTTTAAACATGAATCTTGTATATGTAGTCAGTATTTAGACTTACTTTATTAGAAAAACTTAGTATATTTTCTATCTCATTTTCTTGTATTGTTTTGCATCCTGTGTTATTTTTGCCTTTTCAAAGTTGTCTTTCAAATGGTACTAGGACAAAATTGTTCTGCAGATTATTTTTATGATTGTTTAAAGTTATTTTTCTTATTAACTACCTCACCTTGGTAAAGAAGGAAAATACTACTTTTTCTTTTAGCTTTTAAATGACAACCATAATTGAGAAAGACCAAATGATAATCTTAGATTGTTATCAGAAGCAACACTATAGGTCTGTAGCAGTACCATTCAACAGAAATATGCTGCAAGCCACATAAGTAATCTGAAAATTTCTAGTAGTCACATTAACAAAGTAAAAAGAGATAGGTAAGTTAATGTTTTCTGTGTGTTTGTGTGTGGCACTGGTGTTCGAACTCAAGGCTTTCACACTGAGCTACATCCTTAGCCCTTTCATTAGTTTTACTTTTTAAATTTTATGGCAGTCTGATGAAGGTGGTAAGTTGCCTAGACTGTGTTGGAACTCAGAATCTTCCTGCCTCAGCCTCCCAGAGTGCTGGGATTGCCGGTAGAAGACACCGTATCCAGATGTACATAGCTACCTTTTATTTATTTCTATATCATTTCAAGTAATTAAGGTTAAAAATGAGATATTTTCCAAGCCAGCATGATAAACACCTGTAAGCCCAGCACTCGGGAGGCCTAGGCAGGAGCATGGATGTAAATTTGAGGCCAGCCTGGGCTACAACGTAGTAAGTTTAAGGCCATCCTGAAGTACATAGTGAGACAGTGTCACAAAGCAAATGAACACAGTAAAAATAAGGTATTTTCCATGATTTCATACTAAATCTGCCGATTCTAGTGCATTTTTATTTTTATTACTCTCAGTCCTTTTTTTTTTTAAATTTCAAGCCAGGTCTGGCCAAGTTGTCCAAACTGGGATGAACTTGCAGTCCTCCCGGCTTAGCTCCCAAGTACTACCTAGAATTACAGGTGCGCGCCACCATAGTCCCCAACTGTACTGTACGTGTTTACACAAACAGCAACACAGATTGGACCAGCCACATTCCAAGTGCTCAGTAGTGACATATAGCTAAGGCTTGTTTTGTTGGGTAACACAGATCTATAGGATTGCTATTTAATATTTGGGATGCTTTGATTCTGTGGGGGTAAATTTAAAACTCCTTTTCTTAAAGTACTTTGTTATTCAAACTGAGAAGATTCTGTGCCAGGAGAGTTCCCAGAAGTCTTCCTCAGAGTGTTGATTGTACTTCTTCAGTGAGCCCAGGTGCCCAGCTTGTTTAGGGAGGATCATGAAATGAGTAGAGTACTCAGTCATTTCCTGCGTGTCATTGTTTCACTGTGTTTACCTCTGTGTATCAACAGTGCACTTAGGCACTGTGCAAGTCTGCCTACTAAATCTGTTGGCACTGAGTAGGGAGAGCTTTGGGGCACTTCCTACAAGAAGATTGGACTTCGTTGTGAACAAGTAAGGTACTTGTGTTGTAGTTATTTTTTGAACTAGTTTCAGATACGGCTAAAAGTTTTAGAAATGTACTGTAATGTGTTAATGTCTACATTTAATGTCAAAATTAGCCTGAAGGCCTAGTTAATATTTATTGTAACTTGATACAAGAAACACGCCCCTTTCCCAACCTTTATAGTATCAAAGAAATTTTATATTTCGGTAAACAAATTCTTTGTAATATGTAGTCTTTATAGATCTGACACAGTGTAAGGCAGTGTGTGGAGAATTACAAGACTAAATACAGAATTGGGTGATGGGGATAGTTATTGGTGTTGTTTTGTGTGAGAGGTAGTACCTTCTGTAGGAAAAAGTAGTGTTTTCATTTGCATTTAAAGTAGGTGGCTATCACTTGGCACCTTTTCAGTTGGATAAGAAGGAAAATGCAAATGGGAGGAGGAAATTGGGACATGTAGGGGATTGTGGAAAGTAGAGATACAAAGTAGCAAATACACAAGATGAACAGGTGGAAAGACCTAATACACAGCAGGAGGAGGACCATAGTGAATTCATTATGTTCATGGTTTGGGCTAAGTGATTATATTACATTGTCTCCCGACACAGGGAGGAAAATGTTTAACTATGTGCCGTGATTTTGTTTCACTATTATAACCATTTTACTATATATCTTATGACATCATATTGTATATTTTACTTTCTTTTTTTCTTTTTTTTTTTTGGTACCGGGGATCGAACTTCGGTCCTTTTGCTTGCGAGACAGGCGGTAGAACCACTGAGCTAGATCCCCGGCCCCCATATTGTATATTTTAAATATTCACAGTGAAATTTATTATAAAAAAGAAAGAGGGGCCCAGGGATTTAGCTCAGTGGTTTTGTTACCTGCAGCGCAAGCGTGAGGACCCAAGTTCGATACCCCCCCCCCCAAAAAAAGGCTGGGGATGTAGCTCAGTGACACAGTGCCTGCCTGACAATCGAGAGGTCCTGAGTTTGATCCCCAGTACCAAAGAAAGAAAGACAGTAAGAAAGAAAGAAACCACCAAGCTGGATGCAGTGGTAGATGTCTTTCAATCCTAGAGACTCAGGAGACTGAGGCAGAAGGATCACTTAAGCCTAATAATTTCCAGGCCAGCCAGGGTAACATAGTGTGACCATGTCTCGAAAAAAGAAAACATGCTGCTTGCATTCTACAAGTTAGCCTAAGCAAATTTATTTTAATTATTTGTGGAAGAATAATTGATAGTCTGGCAATTTTCAGTTTTTTTAAAAAAACCTTTATAAGATTTAAACAACTTACAAAAGGATTACATTCTTACTGAGAAATTCTAATTTAATATATGTATGTCTTGATACTGTTATGTAGCATTCCCTAACATAGGGCCTTCATGATTCATATGAATACAGATTTTTTATTTAGGAATTATGCCCATGGAGGAAATTATATTTCCTTTCAACCCAGGAATACTTTTGTTTTTCAAGCAATTGAAATACTTCATAGCTGGGTGTGGTGGTTTGTTGTTTGTTTTCCGGGTGATACCGGGGATTGAACTCAGGTCCTTGCACAAGGCAGGCAGCAGAACCACTGAGCTAAATCCCTGCCCCTAGGGGGTGGTGGTTTATACCTATAATCCCAGCACTCTGGAGGCTGAGGCAGGAAGGGCATGTTAGAGGCAGCTCGGACTACACAGTGAGATCTTGTCTCAAACAAAAATTCATGTGTAATATTCCTATAGT